TTTTTTTTTTTTTTTTGTCAATAACAGTAATTATCTAGGCTATATAACCAACACCTGGTACTACAGAACCCTTGGAGCCTTTAGTAAACTGCCAACCATCTTTACTTACATTTACTGTCAGTTTGCAGGTGAATGGTACCGGATTGGACTTGCAGATGAGTCACTGTTGTTTGCCATGTTCAAAAACCAGCTGAAGGTTTCTAAAGGCCTTCTTGTACCAGATGCCATGGGAAATGTGAATCTGACCATGTGGACCATGAGGTGCACAATTTTGGATAGGATGTTGATCCATATTTATATTATCACACCATCTCGATTAACAAAGGGAAAACATATTGTGATGGGAAAATACATTTAACCAAAATATTTTTTGCTCTGCGCTAACAATCTGTATATACTTGAACTAACAGACCATATGGATGCTCCATCAGTGTTTATTCATATGAGAAGACAGATGTTCCTGGAGAATTCACTTACTTCAGCAAAAGTAAGCTCTTTTTTCCTCTCTCAAACATCTTTTTTATCACATGATGTTATTATTCACACTCAGAACTGTGTGAAATGTGAGATCTGACATCAGCAACTGTCAAAAACTTTCAAATACATTTAAGTCCATTGCACTCTTTCATCAGACCGATGAAAAATGAGAGATACTTCTCAATTATTATATACAGAATATTGAGTAGAATATAGTGCAAAATAGAACTGAATAAAATGAAACTGATAAACTGAAATCTGCGATTGTTACCTTAAACTATTTCTACCTGATCTAATCCATAATAAATAGTTTTGTTGGCATAAATTAATGTATTTAGATTAAATTCAGATATTAAATAATATTTTGTTATTACCATTTTTAGGTTTCCATTTCCTGTGTAGGTTTAAGCCTCTTTATTCTTTATAAAATGTATTTACCTCAATTTTATAAGCACATTTTATGTCAGGTATACAAACCACCACAGATCAAATCAATCCCTTAACTTTAAATTAATAAAAAAAAAAACGTCTGACTTTTTGTCATTTTAAGGGCACAAGATAACAAAAGACATCACAATAGTGGAGACCAATTACACTGATTATAGTATGGTCCTTAAATACAAGAACATGGACAAAGAATACACTCAAGTAGCTCTTTACGGTAAGTTTACACCGATAAATTGTATCACGTGTCTTTGACATTAATGAAGCATACTAATTTGTCAGTAACATTGCTCCTAGGACGGTCATCCATACTAAGGCCAGATCTAATACAGATATTCAGATCTTTTGCTTTATCTCTGGGCTTTTCTGAGGAGGCCATTGTCACTCCAACAGATGTTGGTAAGTTTTCATATGATATAACGAACATAAACTGTTTATGTCAGACTGCCACACTGCAAAAGAGCAGGAATAAGCTGCACTGATGCTAATGTTTAATGTTTATGTGACCTTAAATAGGTCCTCTAAAGTTTGCTGAATAAACAAAACACCATGCACACACAGAACAAGCACGTCACTCTTAAAGGAATAGTTCACCCAAAAATGAAAACTTGCTGAAAATGTACTCACCCTCAGACCATCCAAGATGTAGATGAGTTTGTATCTTCATCAGAACAGATTTGGAGAAATTGTGAGATTTCTGAGATTGATGTATATGTAATTTTATAATTACTTCTATTTTCTTTGAAATATGTGACCCTGGACCACAAAACCAGTCATAAGGGTCAATTTTTTTAAATTGAGATGTACACATCATCCGAAAGCTGAATAAATAAGCTTTCCATTGATGTATCGTTTGTTAGGATAGGACAATATTTGGCCGAGATACAACTATTTGAAAATCTGGAATCTGAGGGTGCAAAAAAAT